TAGGTCCTACCCGGTATCCCCCGTGGAGGCGGTGGAGGGTCTTTCGAGGAGGGGGATCCGTACGTGTGTACCCAGGACCCGGGGTATGTTTTACGACTGATGAGGAAGGCGATGCCGGGGGACACTGTGACAAGCCATCTCCTGATGGGTCCCAGCTGGGTGCTTCTGGTATCATGGCATCCTTGGAGGAGAGGCAGCTGTACACGGGCGTCCCCTGCACAGCTTTTCTTAGAAACAGTCTGTTCCATCACCAAATACTCCTCTGTAGACCCAGAGCCGGAGCTGTTACCCTGACGACGTCTCCCCCATCTGGGGTTTTGTGTGAGTCCAGGGAAGGGAAGAGAAGACAGCTCTCCCTCCCCTGGGTCCCTGGACACAGCGGTGCGGGAGTCACTTGGCCACGCTTCCGTTGGTCCATCTGTTGGACATGTGTTGAGTGTGGTTGGGACTGGGAAGGGGCTGGGGTGTGGAGCAAGGCGACCGTCAGCGGGAAGGGCTCCTGACAGCTGTCGCCAGAGGTTTCCTCCTCCTAATAGTCCTTGTGTTCATTTCCTGGGGCCACCGTAACAAACGCCCCCACACCGTGTGGCTTGCACAACAGAACTTGATTCTCGCCCAGTTCTGGAGGCCAAGAGTCCAACACCCAGGTGCTGGCCGGTCCGTGCTCTCCACGGGCGAGGAACCCTCCCTGGCCTGGCCCCCAGGCGTCCCTGGCTTGTGGCTGCCTCGCTCCTTCTCTGCCTCATCTTCACGTGCCTGTCCTTCGTGTCTGCCACAAACCCCTTCTCTCTGTGACGAGGACACTTATAGGATCTGGAGCCCATCCTACAGCCAGGATGATCTCAGTCCGTCCTTGAATACGTCTGCAAAGACCCTGTTTCCAAATGAGGCCCATTCACAGGCCCGGGAGTTAGGGCTGGAACATTCCTTTTGGGTGTCCAGTCAACCCACTGCAGGCTTAGATGAAAGAGGAGCGTCTCAGGTTGAAAAGGGAGGGAAGACCCGGTGCCTCCCTGCTCTGGGGGCTCCCGGGGGCTCCCTGGGGCTCCATGCCCACAGTTACCAACCTGTGACCAGCCTTCAAGTGGTGTAGAAGCACCCGAGGCCCACGAGGGCTGGAGAGCCTGCTCGTCCGTGATACAGGCAAGGACGGCCGCCTGTGTTCCCGGGACCCAGACACACCCCCTGAAGTCCTGACGTGGGCTGGGTGACATGCAGATAGAGCGGTGTGAACTTCGGGGCCCTGGGCAGGCCTTGGGGGGGACTCAGAGAAGGCAGCGTGCTTGTTTGGGGGGATGGCGTCAGCCACCAAGAGCAACCCAAACAATCTGGATATTCGCTGAGCAGCCCTGATAGGAACAGTCCCTGCGTTCCGGGGGCGTAGGACTAATGGGGAGAGACCATGCAGGACGCACACGCCGGTGGACGCACAGGGCTGGGGAGCGGCCTGGGCTGCGGAGGAACAGGGCACAGCCCACGGAGCGGGGAGGGGAGGGGCCGGGGCCGGCGTGGGCACGCGCAGAGCTGGGGGCCGGGGCCCGGCGTGGGCACGCGCAGAGCTGGGGGATGGGGCCGGCGTGGGCACGCGCAGAGCTGGGGGACGGGCCCGGCGTGGGCACGCGCAGAGCTGGGGGTCGGGCCCGGCGTGGGCACGCGCAGAGCTGGGGGACGGGGCCCGGCGTGGGCACGCGCAGAGCTGGGGGGCCGGGCCCGGCGTGGGCACGCGCAGAGCTGGGGGTCGGGCCCGGCGTGGGCACGCGCAGAGCTGGGGGACGGGCCCGGCGTGGGCACGCGCAGAGCTGGGGGGCCTGGGCCACGGCGTGGGCGCGCAGGCTGGGAGGGGCCGGCGTGGGCGCGCGCAGAGCTGGGGGATGGGGCCGGCGTGGGCACGCGCAGAGCTGGGGGATGGGGCCGGCGTGGGCACGCGCAGAGCTGGGGGAGGGGGCCGGCGTGGGCGCGCGCAGAGCTGGGGGATGGGGCCGGCGTGGGCACGCGCAGAGCTGGCGGCCGGGGCCAGGTGGGCACGCGCAGAGCTGGGGGATGGGGCCGGCGTGGGCACGCGCAGAGCTGGGGGACGGGGGCCCGGCGTGGGCACGCGCAGAGCTGGGGGATGGGGCCGGCGTGGGCACGCGCAGAGCTGGGGGACGGGGCCCGGCGTGGGCACGCGCAGAGCTGGGGGACGGGGCCCGGCGTGGGCACGCGCAGAGCTGGGGGACGGGGCCCGGCGTGGGCACCCGCAGAGCTGGGGGAGGGGGCCCGGCGTGGGCACCCGCAGAGCTGGGGGGCCGGGCCCGGCGTGGGCACCCGCAGAGCTGGGGGACGGGGCCCGGCGTGGGCACCCGCAGAGCTGGGGGAGGGGCCCGGCGTGGGCACCCGCAGAGCTGGGGGACGGGGCCCGGCGTGGGCACCCGCAGAGCTGGGGCCCGGGGCCGGGTGGGCACGCGCAGAGCTGGGGACGGGGCCACGTGCGCAGCTGGCCGTGGAAAGAGCAGGTTGGGGGGGGCAGCCCAGCTGTTCAGCAGGGATCTGCGCATGTGCGGGCTGGGTGCAGTCCATTGCCGCCTCTGGACGTGGGTCAGGGAGGGCTCTGCTTTGGTGCAGGGTCTTCGGTCATGAGTCGGGTCTTGTTATTGTCCTGGGCAAACCTGGGGAAGACTCTCCCCCAGCTACTGTCTGTTCTTCAACTGGGCGCCAAGGAACCAACACCAAGGCCCCCGGAGAAGCCGGTGCTGGGAGGGTGGGATCCGGACCCCTCCTCCAGGGAGCTCACAGACAGGAGCCACCATTCAGGGACAGTTTGGACAGTGATCTCAAGGCAGGGGGTAGACCAGATGCCTCCGAGGTCCGGGCACTCAGCTCTGGGCTTCCTGTCCCCTGTGACAGGCACTGACCTCTGCTCGGTGTTTGGGCTTCTTTGGAATGGGCAGTTCTGGGGTGATCTTGGTGGATAACCCCGTGAAGAGGCAGACACCACCAAATTAGGATCCCAGCATTGGCTCAGGACCCTGCTGACTTTGGTCACGTTGTCAACCAGAGGACACAGGCCCAGCGCAGCCTTGGAGGTGACCGCAGTTTTAAAGGGTTGTTGGGCGTTGTTTTTGTATCAGCATCTACACCAGGAGACAGGAGACCATGTAAAAACAGCCAGGTTCCAGGTTCTCTGAAGTCCGGAGCTGTGCCCACAGCGGGCCCACACACCTGTTCCCGAGACGAGGGCAGGAGCTGACGTCCAGTTCCCCAAATCTGCACAGCATCCCCCCCCCAAGAACTGGCAGTCCTGCTGGGCCTCTGGGGTGATTGAGCGTTGCAACCCAGGATTTTGTGCCCTGTGTCCACCAAGAGGGAGGTGTGCCCAGGCCTTAGAGGGGCCTCGCAGGAGTGCCTGCCTGGGCAGCGGCCGGTCAGGCAGCAGGTGTCAGGGCAGGACACTCCTGGTGACCGCAGGGAAGTGCTGTCCACCAGGAGGGCTTGAGAGCTGAGTTGGAATTTGGAGCAAAGGGAGGGAGGGGCTGCGAAGAATGTCCCTGGAGAGCTGTTGTTGGGGGCTGGGGACCAGCAGCAGGCTGGCGGGTAGGAAATAGCGGGGTCCCCTGAAATCCTGGGCTCGGGGTTGGTGAGGTGAGGGGAGGTGTTGGGGAGACACTGTGGGTCACTGAGCTCAGCTGTCGGGCAGGACACGTGGGCCCCTTCCTGCTCTGGTCTTTATAACTGGGAGCAGCTGGGCCTCATTTGGTTTTGGGGCCTGCGGCTTCTTAGGCACCATCCCCACCACCTCGGAGGGAGGGAGCAGGTCCTGGCAGAGATGGTGGGTGTCGGGGTGGGAGTCGGTGTCCCAGAGGATGGAGGCGGGCGGGGGCGAGGGTGAAGACTAAGACAGTCGGGTGGGGGAGGGGGCAGGCCACGCCAGGGCTCTACTCCATCCCACCAGAAAGTGGACAGCTGTGTGCCAAGAACCCTGGAGTAGGGCAGACCCAACTTCTGGGTCTGCTAGTCACTGTCCCTGCTGCCGGAAATGTCAGCGGTGGGCAGGGTGGCTTCTGGCCGGAGACAGCACTCTGTGTCCTGAGTGCTTATCTTGTCAGAATGAATTCGAACATCAGAGAGACAGCAGATAGCCAAAGCAGGTGAGAATTTATTTGCAGAAAAGGAATACCCTTGGATAGAGTCTGAGCAGACATCTCAGCCGACCGAAACCAAACCAAGTGCCTCCCTTCGCTGGGGTTTTGGGGAATGTATACCCCTAGGCTGCAGTGTCCCTAAGTAAGTCTCCCCCTGCCTTATTTCTAAAAAAAAAAAAAATCTTTAAGCTCTGACTCCTTCACCCGGTGTCATGCATCAGGTAGACCGCACCCTGGAGGGGCTGAATGTCTCCTTGTGTGATTTGGTTGTCATACATGTTCCCTCCGAGCCCCAACTGCCTTACCAGCTCATACCTTTCTAGCTGTGTAACGGGAACCCTGCGTAAGCCCCGGGGCCTCAGTTTCCTCGTTGGTACTCCCCGCGGAGGGTTATCGTGAGTGCTGTGTGTGACGTGTACCGTGAAGTTTGGCGTCGGCTCTCCCTGCTGTTATCATGATGAAGTTACTCCCTTCTGATGAGTTACGGTGGCTGTTATGGGGGACGTGCCCCTGGCTGCTGCGGTGGTGGTGATGGCGTTCGCTGCTGGTGTCTGTGTTGGGGGACATGGGGAGGGAGAGAGGAAGGCCCCGACAAGAAAGATGTCAGAGGCTCCCTGGAGCCGGACGTCCTGATAGGAAGTGTAGCTGGTCCCCGCCGAGGTTGTGGCAGGGCAGGGAGGTCGGGGTGCCCCAGGCTCCAGCCTTTTCCCTCTCCCCAGGACACGTGATCGCGGTGCCTGTGAGTTTCCTGGTAGAGGGGGGCTGCCCGAGGTCCTGGCTGCAGCGTCCCGCCAGCTACCTTTCGACGTTCACCCCGAGCAGAATGTTCCGGGGTGTTCCTGAGCCGTCCACTCATCACAGCCTCCTCTCTCTGTCTTTCAGCCTTGAAAAGGTCATTTGAGGTTGAGGAGGTCGAGACGCCCAACTCCACCCCACCCCGGAGGGTCCAGACTCCTCTGCTCCGGGCCACTGTGGCCAGCTCCACCCAGAAATTCCAGGACCTGGGCGTGAAGAACTCAGAGCCCGCCGCCCGCCATGTAGACTCCCTGAGCCAGCGGTCCCCCAAGGCCGCCCTGCGGAGGGTCGAGCTGTCAGGACCCAAGACCGAGCCCATGTCCCGGCGCACCGAGATCTCCATCGACATCTCGTCCAAGCAGGTGGAGAACGCCACCGGGCCGTCGAGGTTCGGGCTGAAGCGGGCGGAGGCACTGGGCCACAAGACACCAGAGCCCATCCCTCGGCGGACGGAGATCACCATCGTCAAGCCCCAGGAGCCAGCCCACCGGAGAATGGAGACCCCCAGCTCCAAGATCCCGGAGGTGCCCACCGCCCCCACTGTGGACCCCACCCCCAAGAGGGTGGAGATCCAGGTGCCCAAGCCAGCCGAGGTGCCCGCCTCCCCTATCCCAGCCCAGACCCTGGAGAATTCAGAACCCACGCCGATGTCTCAGCTGCAGAGCAGGCTGGAGCCCAAGCCCCAGCCTCCCTTGGCCGAGGCCCCGCCCAGGAGCCAGGAAGGTGAGTGGCAAATGACCAGGTGTGGTGGTGACGGGGGCGGGAGCTGGCTTTACAACGGAGGCTCGGAGGAAGAGGCTGGACGGGGGCTGTGCGTCCGTGGAGACCCAGGGCACACACGGGCAAGGCCCAGAGGCTTGTGGGAGCAGACTGGTTCACAGAGGGTGCACCGAGATTCAGCAAGTTGGGCTGGAGTTAGACTTTGGGGAGAACCTTTATTGGTCAACACAGGTCATGCGGTCGTACCTCTAGCGGTGTGAGCCCAAGACGGTGGGGGTTTGAGAGCCAGGGGTGGGCTCTCATGGTCCGTGGTCACTGGGCCCAGGGGAGGAGTTGTGGGCAGCCCTTTGAGTGCTGGGCAGAGGCCGAGGTCCTGGGGTGGGGTTCCTGCCCTCTTGAGGTTTTGCAATGGAGGGTCATCCACCTCCTCCCCCGGGAGGGAGGGTTGTGAGCAGCAAGAATGCCTAATCTTTGCACCCTAAGATTCTCTGGGCCACTGGGAAAGGGCCCCGGGGCCAGGGATCCCCATGATACCTGCCCACAGCTACACTTGGGGGTGCTCTTCTGAAGAGGGGAAGGGGAAGGAAGCAAGGGGCTTGGATACTGTCCTCAGAGGACCCAAACCCGGACTTGGGCTCACTCGGGGAGCTGCCAGGAGAGGGGGTGCTGATCCTCAGGGGACACGTGGTCCCTTGGGAGTGGGCCCGGGCCGCTGGGACGTTTGCAGGAGCCCCTGGGTCAGTTCTGATCGCAGGACCCGGAAGTCAGTCCATTGTCAATAGGTGTTTCACGGACAGACAGACCATTCTGGGTTTGTGTTTGTGATTTACCTTTCCAAAATTATTACTGTTGACTGTAGTTGCGGAAAACATGCCATAAAATCTACCCATTCAGCCATGTTCATGCACACAGCTCGGCGGCCTCAGGCTCACTCACCTCGCCAGGCGGCCGTCCCGCCGTCCTCTCCAGCCTTCTCGTTGTCCCAAGTGAAAGTCCGTCCTTCCTGCTCCCTCGCTCCCGCCCTTCCCCAGCCGGCCCCCACCAGCCACTTCCTGTCTGTTAACAGGACTGCGCCAGGTCCGCGTGTAAGGGGAATCACAGTGTTTGTCCTTCAGTGTCAGCGGATTTCACTGAGCACCCGCCCTCCCGGGCCGGAGCAGGGCGATCGTTCTGTGTGTGCATGCATGTGCATGAGTGCGTGTGCGTGCGTGTGTGCATGCATGTGCACGAGCGTTTGCATGTGTGTGCATGCATGTGCATGAGGGTGTGCACGTGTGCATGCATGTGCATGTGTGCACGAGTGCACGTATGTGCATGAGGGTGTGCGTGTGTGCATATGTGTGTGCATGCGTGTGCACGTTCGCATGTGTGTGCATGCGTGTGCATGAGGGTGTGCATGCATGCACATGTGCGTGTGCATGTATGTGCATGAGTGCGTGTGCATGTGTGCGTGTGTGTGCACGCACATGTGTGCATGTGCAGAGGCACTGTGCTTGTTCACCCGTCATCTTTGCGGGGCCCAGGCCCGCACCTGTCTCAGGCCCCAGCCTTCGCTTCCTTTTGCTCTTCCTCTCGAGTGAGACTTTGCCAGTGGCCAGTGGACCGGAGGGCACTGGGCTGGCGATGGGGTGGGGTGTCGGGTGAGCGGCTATGTTCTGCTCAGTGGACATTTGGCTGAGTAGGGTGGGCGGTCGATTTCCTGCAGCGCTGGGTCACAGAGCAGCCGCGGACGACGGGACCTCGGGGTCCTTCCGGCCTGGGTCTGGGTGGGTCTGTTCTCTCTCCCGTCTCCCTAAACTTGACCCTGCAGAGCCGCTCCCACGTGTGCTGTGAGCACAAAGCAGGGCCAGGGTTTGGGGAGTGGCTGGGAGGCCACTTCCTCATGATCTTCTGTTCGTCCAGGGCCTTTGGCACCGGATACGTCCCCCTCCTGGGGGTGAAGTGTTCACGCTCAGCCTCGTCAAACAGGATGTGGTTGGGAGATGGTCATCATCGGGCCGTCCAGGTCTTGGTGACAGCTGGTGCTGGGTGTGCAAGGGGATGGTCCTGGCTCTGGGGGATGGGCAGGAGGGTGTCTGCTCAGGGTGTCAACCAGGCGAGTGGGGCATAGCCTCAGAGGGACGCAAGAACGGTCAGGCCGGCCATGGCTCCGCAGTGGGGCCGGAGGAGCAGGACGGTGGTGGTCGGACCTGGAGCACTACGGGGAGGCTTCCTGGGAGCGTGGCGCTGTCCCTGAGGCTTGGAGATGGGGGGTTTCACCAGGCAAAGGAGGGGAGAGAAGGGCACTCCCAGCCGAGCCGCTGTCCAGGGGCGTCGGGGAGCCTGACCGGAGAGAATGTGTGATTTCTCCGTGGAAAAGAAGTAGATGTCTGAGTGGGTGTGGGAGCACCGGGCAGCGCCTGGACCCTGCTGCTCCCCAGGGGGCAGCCTGTGCAGTGGGGACCCCTGCTCCGTGGGGGGGGCATAGGCCAGTGCGACTATCCTTCAGGCCCTGGGGCGTGAGCTGGGGGCTGGGCTCTGTGCCAGTTGTGTGTGTACACGCATGTAAGCCCACATGGGAGCCCGTGCCTCAGCTCTGGCTGGGGGCGGTGGTCTCTGACGCCAGTCGTCACCTGTTGAGACCCTTTAGGCTGGACAGACGCAGTTGGCCTGGGGGTGGGTTGGACAGAGGCTGGGAAGAGGAAGAATGCTCTGGGGGGCGGGGGCGGGGGCTTGGATGACTCACTGTGGGAGGATCCAGAAGTCACTGTGGAGAGAGCTGCCCTTGGGCCTGGAAGTTACCAGGGCGAGGCCCATGCAGGGCCGGGAATGTGGCCTAGACCTGCTTGGCCTTGGACCTCCAGGCCCAAGGCCCTGGGCAGGTCTGCATGGAGGCCAGGCCCTTCCTGATGGAGGGGTGTTCCCAGAAGCCATTGCAGTCAGAGCGCCCACCCAGCCCCTGCTCCGACTGCCTCTTCCTTCCCCCTCCTCTGGGCTGGTCTGTCCAGCCCTTGCAGAAGCACATCCGGTTCTCCCTCAGCCCACTTCCTGTCCATCTCTCCTGCAGACCCGCACTCCTGTCCCTCCCACCCTTCCTTGGGGGGCTGGGGGGCGAGCTCCAGGAAGCCTTCCACCCGTGGCCCTGCCCTGACTGCCCTTTGTGGAACGCTGCCCCTTGCACCTGAAGGCCATGTGGCACCACAGGGGCAAAGGATCAGCGAGGGCGCGAGCTCTGGGCCTCTGCCTGCGTCTCCAGAAAGCTCTCTAGACTGGCTTCGGGTGCGGGGCCAGGTCTCCTGGGACCCCAGCTGAGTTGCTCCAGATTGACCTCCCTGAACACGGCACTGGTGAAGTCCTTGCCCCCTGAGCCTTCACGGGCTCACTCGCCCCAGAGCCTCCAGAGTCCGTGCACTGTCTCTCCCAGCTGTCACCTCCCTACTCTTCAGCTCCGCTGTCCCAGCCTCTCATGGTCTCCCGCAGGCCACCTTTCCTCACACCTGTTCTGCTCTGAACATCTGACCCCCGACTTTGCTCCTCTTCACAGTACTGCTCTTCGAACTCCTATGCATCCTTCAAAGCCCGGCTGAAATGGCACCTCTTCCACGAAGCCCTCCCACTAGCTGCAGGTAGCCTCACTTCCTCTGACTCCCGGGCCTTTTTGTATTTTTCTCATGTATAATATCTCATCTTTGGCTCGGACTGTAAATTATTTGTATATGGACTTTTTTTCCTCTGCTAGAATTTTTAATGCAGAAAATAGTTTCTCATGGTGTCTTTTTTTTCGAATTCGGGAAATAGAGAAATTAGAAGGAAACGAAAATTCACCTATAAGCGAACTCTCAACGTTTGCTATATAGGCTTCAGAATTCTCTCCACGCCCCCCCCCCCCCCCCCCCCCGGATTCTAGGTTACTTGAGGGTCGGGCTTTTGTCTTTGCCTTTTTGGTTTTTGTTTTTAAGAATCCTGTAAGGTACTGGGTACGTGACTTGGATATAGCAGGTGCTCAGTAAAATCACTGTTGCACTTGCAAGAATGCAGGGACCCCAGGGGACCCTCTAGGGCTCAGGAAGATACTTTTCTGGTCAAATAAGAACCCACAGATCTGACCCTCTCCACTCTGGCATGCTGGGTTCTCGGTTTCCCAGGCCGCTGCCCCGTCCTGGGACCCGGCACCTTCCTTGTTGTCCCTTGGGTCATCTCTGCTTCTGTTTCGGCCCCTGCCAGATGGGATGGCCTTGCCCCTTCTCCCAGGGCCTGTGCCCCCCGCCTCGGCATGGGTGGCTCTGGGTGGGGCTGGGCTGCGGAGCCCAGATCATGTCTTTGGGGCGGGCTGCTGGCCCTGCCTCCCCCTGGGAGCCGTCCCTCTGGCTCCGGGGCAGCACCAGCCAAGTTTCCCGAGGCAGCCTTATAAGGCGGCCCGGCCACGCTCATGGGTCTGGTTCTCTGCTGTTGCTGGATGCCCTTTGGGGGCCCTGGGCGAGGCCAGGGTGGCAGGGCCGGGTGCGGTGGGGTCCCATCCAGAGCCCCCCTGAGTTCTCTGTCTGTCCCTGTGGGACTTTGCTGTCAGATGAAGGAGGGGAGGGGCCTGCTGGCTGAAGGCGGCCCGAGCTTTCCAGGGGCCCACCCCACGGAGGCACCAGGGGCACAGTGACAGTCGGTGTGAGATTGGGGTGCGGAAGACTGAGCATGTGTCTCCATAGGGTTTCTCCCCGACTGCACCATCTGGAACGTTCTGTCACAGGGAAGACTCAGTCCTCCTCCGAGCTGTCCCCGAGGCCCATTCACACCCAGGCCGGAAGCAGGAAGGCCCCCACTTACGGGGGCACAGGAGCCAGGAGGAGCCTACGGAACAAGTGGCCGGGCCGAGGTGTGCCCTTCACGATGGGCAGAGTAGGGGCATCGATGAAGAGGACCTGCTTCCTGCCGCCACCTGGCCCAGCGCTCGCTGAGCCCAGCCCGGGGGTGAGGAGGACTGAGGGGCGATGCGGGGAATGCAGCCCGCAGCTGCCGATGCCTGAAATAGA